CTGCGACTTTTGTCGCAGAAGGCTCGACATAGGGATAGTGATCCGGCGGCGGCGGCGTTAGCTAACTTCTAAAAAGCTTTATATTTTAGAAGCTAGAAGACCTGGATGCTTCATACTTTGTATATAGATGCCTTATGTTACGAAGTTTCCGTCTGTCATATGTCCATTGTCCTTGACCTCATTTTCATGGTTCAGTGACTACTTGAAAAAAAAGTCAGCATTTTTTGTAATGTTAATTTCTTTCTTATTATGAGTAATAGGATAACTATATTTAGTATGTGCGTACCTTGCAAGGTCCTCATGCCTGTCAGACAATTTTCATTTGACCTCGACCTCATTTCATGGATCAGTTAACAAGGTTAAGTTTTCGTGGTCAAGTCCATATATCAGATACTATAAGCAGTAGGTCTACTATATTTGGTATATGGAATGATTGTAAGGTGTACATGTCCAACTGGTAGGTGTCATCTGACCTTGACCTCATTTTCATGGTTCAGTGATCAAAGTTAAGTTTTTGAGTGTTGGTCTTTTTTTCTAATACTCTATGCAATAGGTCAACTATATTTGGTGTATGGAAATATTTTATGATGTACATGTCAGTCTCACAGGTTTTATTTGACCTTGACCTCATTTTCACGGTTCATTTCTCAGTGTTAAGTTTTTGTTTGTTGTCTGTTTTTCTTGAACTATAAGCAATATATCAACTATATTTATTGCATGGAAGGATTGTAAGGCTCATATGTATGTCTGGGAGGTATCATCTGACCTTGACCTCATTTCCATGGTTCATTGGTCAATATTAAGTTTTCATGGTTAAGTTTGTTTCTTAGATACTATAAGCAAAAGGTCAACTATATTTAATGCATAAATTGATTGTAAGGTGTACATGTCTGTCTGGCATGGTTCATCTGACCTTGACCTCATTTTCATGCTTCATTAGTCAATGTTAAGTTTTCTTGGTTAAGACTGTTTCTTAGAAAAGAGGGACGAAAGATAACAGAGGGACAGTCAAACTCATAGACCGAAAACAAACTGACAACGCCATGGCTAAAAATAAAAAGACAAACGGACAAATAATAGTGCAGATGACACAACATAGAAAACCAAAGACTAAGCAACACGGAACCCACCAAAAACTGGGGGTGATCTCAGGTGCTCCGGAAGGGTAAGCAGATCCTGCTTAGAAAATATAAGCAATAGGTCAACTATGTTTTGTTTTTTGAATGATTGTAAGGTGTACATGTATTTCTCGTTTGGTTTATCTGACCTTGACCTCATTTTCTTGGATCATGTTAAGTTTATGTGTTACTTGTAGTAAAGCTTTATATTTCGGACTATCAACATAAAATCAATGGTTAGTAAAGAAGGCGAGACATTTCAGCGTGTGCACTCTTGTGAATTTTAAAACGCACATTTCTCTAAATAAAAAACAATAAGCTTTTTTTTTTGAAAACTGAATTATATACATTTAAATCTGTTTTAGTACAATTTAAGATGACAATTTTGTATATTAATATCACTTTATATACCCAGCTTGATAGTCAATATTTAGCCTATACAAACCCAAACACTTTACATATTACCTTTAGTTCAATTATTAAACAAATCATCAATTAATTCTTTTTACTTACATTTTTAAGAAGGTGCATTTTCAAGAAGAGAAAAGGAAAGATTCTCAGAATAAATAAAAAAGCTATTGCAAAATTATCCTAGAATAAAGTGACTGTTCAAATGTTACAAAAATAAATTCAATTTTGCTCTGACCAATTCAGATAAGTACATTCAGACATTAAATGTTTTTAACACATATATCATTTCATTCAAAAAGAGAAATTAGAAAAAAAAACAATTGAAGGAAAATGTCTCCACTCACAAAAAAAAGTAAAAGAACAAAAATACCGAACTCCAAGGAAAATTCAAAACGGAAAGTCCTATACAATGCATTGATACTTATGGGAATATGTGGTTAGTTAAAACAATCAAATGAAAGATTTTTAATTGTTAAAATAAAAACAACACAATGAATATTTCCTTTGCTCCAGGGCAATACAGTCGGTCTGACACCTAAACATTTAATGCACTTTTCCTTGGCCACTTTTTTACCGTCAACATAACGATTGTTATGTCTTCAAGTTCAAAGAAGTGAGTCACCCTCTTGCTGAAATTAACAATTTATTTTAGGTGACTACAATATAATTAAAATTAAGATACCTAAAAAATGGGCATCGTTTAAATGAGATTAACGAATTTGATTCGTATAAGTAACAGAATAATCTTCAGTTTGAAAGTTTTCATTCATATTATGTAATGTTTTTCCAAGAAGTTAGTGTTGCACAATTATTTATAACATTTCACGGAAATGTACTTTATTCGAAGTTTATTAATCTATTCAAGCGCTCGTGTATTTACCCACCATTTTTCCTTAAAATGTCCTGTACCAAGTCAGGAATATGGTAGTTGTTATCACATAGTCCGTTTCTGTGTATGTTGGCGTTTGTTTTTGTAGCAGTTCAGTGTTTCTGTTGTTCCGTTTTGTTTCCTCTTATAGTTGATGTGTTTCCCTCAGTTTTGATTTATGACCCGGATTTGTTTCAGTTAAATCGATTTATGACTATTAAATAGCGGTATACTACTATTGCCTTTATTTGGCACAAGATGTGTATTGATATGAAAGTTGAATCCCACCCTTTTTTGAAATGCTATTATTCCAATTCTTTTCTTAGGCAAGTAAGAGTACTGATATAATACAGTATGATAGACATCTGTCATTATTTACAAATAATTTCACCCAAAGATGGGAGTATAATAAATTGGAATCACCTCCACTTTAATGCCTGTCTTAATTGACCACAGTTGATACCTCTTGTATTACATAATTGAATACACAAAAATATTGACGTCAATAGTAGACATATAGTCACTTGATCTACACTACATACAATGTTCAGTAAATTATTTCTCAGAGATGAATGATTAAGGATAAAAAGATGCATGTTTATTGCAAAGAAAAGACAAACTTGTAAAATCAGTGTTGTAATCACTGATATTAGTCAATAATTTATGTTAATTTAAGTTACAATTATCATTAATTAGCTTGAAACAATAAACAAAATTGCTGAACTCTAACCTGGGAATTTTCTGCAATCAAATTTATTTGTGTTTTCCCCATTATTTGGCTATTTGATGGTGTAAGTATAAGGAAATGCCTCTACCAAGTCAGGAATATGATATGTTTTCCATTCGTTTGATGTGTTTGAGCTTTTGATTTTTCCATTTTATAAAGGACTTTACGTTTTGAATTATCCTTTGAGTTCGGTATTTTTTTTATTTTACTCTTTATTATACATGTATATTTGAATACAGAAAATTATTTTTTCTCTATGAAAATTTAAATGAAAAATAGTTATCTGATTTTAGTTGTTGAAAAAGTGCATTTTCAATGCCTCTTTTGTGAAACCATCAAGTCAAACTTCAATAAAAATATACTGCACCTTCCTTCAAAGATTTCTAATTCCAATCAAGCCAAAATAATTTAATTGATAAAAAAGATATTAAAAATCAGTGCCCCTTCTAAAAATTGAAATATCTGAAGAATTTGTATCAAAATTAAGAAATTCTCCATCTTTTGGATCTTGAATACAATAATGGATTATGGAAATGAAATTAAATCATTCATCTTCTGTCATATAATTTTTATCAAAAAACAATATATGATCCTAAGCTGTGTAAGAAAAATAGAAATATTCCCAAAAGCAACCATTTATAAGTAAATTTAGGGAGACATGCTTGTTTAATCAACTGAAAAAAAACCTATTATCTATCTGAATTTAATGCAAGGATGACAAATCAAGTTTTTTTTTGTTCACCACAAGACCCGAGCATATGATTTGAAATTATGCACACAACTCTTCCAGTCTTTCCATTAGTGACTTCGATCACTTTGATTGTTATAAGTACATTAGAAAAAGTACATTTTAACTGAGAATGTCATGAACTGAAAGGGGTGATTTTAAAAAAGAAAAATAACACTGGTTATATTTAGTGAAATAATAATGAAAATAATAATATTCAACATTCAATCCTAGTGTTGGTTTTTTTTTTTTGTAAACATATAATATTAGATTGGCCCTTGGTTTCTTCTTTGTTTTAGCAAAAATTGACATTTTGATCAAAATCGCTTATCCAAAGTTGTGATGGTTGTCTCTAAATGTCTTACAAGAGCTTGAATTATTTTTTTTTATTATAATTAGATCACAAAAAATGTCTGTCTACCCGCCGTAGCTAAACAAATGGCTGAATCACAACACCGACGATGCTTTGATTTAATTTATAACAATATGAAAAACAACAGTACCGTAGTTGAGCACATGCGATCCCCCCGGTTTTTGATGGTGTTAGTGTTGCTCAGTGTTTAGTTTTCTATGTTGTGATGTGTGTACTGTTGTTTGTCTTTTGGTCGTTTTTCGTTTTTGCCTTGGCATTGTCAGTTTGTTTTTGACTTATGAGTTTGAATATACTTTTGATATCTTCCGCCTCTCTTTTGCACCGGCTGTAAATGAAGATGACTCCACTGAATTTGACAGAGGAAAGAAATTGATGCCAAATTCTACTTAAGATAAGGGACAAAAACTATAAATCATAGACATGAAAATACCATATTATAAACTAGAATAAGGTGTTATAGGGTTTTTTATTTGTGTTTTATTTGAATGTTGACCTGTATATTGTTTTCTTGTCTTTTTTTAAACTTATTATATACTTCAATTTAAAATATGAGAAAATTTCTATCATTTATTTCTTAAATAAAAATACGACTCAGAGCGAAAAGGGTTTGATTTTCCCTATGTATCTATACACAATAAGCTAAGAACTATATTTTTCTTTAGTTGCTTACTATTTTATTAAATGATCGGTATTTCCCACTTGAGTTTTAATTACATTTTTGATGTATATAATTAAACGGATAAACTGTACAGAGTGTGATAAAAATCTATCATTTTCAGTTTATACTTTCATACGACCCAACACTCTTCCTGGTTTAGGCTTTCAAAGTAGCTATGAAGAAGGGAAAAAGTAACAGGTCATGATGTCAGATTCAAAATATTTGATAAAAGAAGGAGAGATAACAATACGATCGGGAATTTTAGTAAGTAATATATTCAGTCTCATTTTTATTGTTTCAGAATGTACAGAAATGTAAAATGTAATCAGAATTTGAGTTAAACATACTGATTATCTCATTTGTCAATTTAAATTGCAAGAGTGCTCATATAGGACATTTGATGTTGGCCAATAATTTCGTTTGGCCGGTAAGTCCGTTCATCTAACGTTATGTTAACGAAATGAACAGACTAACCGGACACACGAATTTACCGAAATTAAGGATATACACTAAGCAAGTCCTATCCACTCTAGTGATGTTGCAACGACCCAGAGAATCTTTGTTTTAAGTAGCTGAGATAGTGAAGATTACTTGAAGCAAAATTGACAACTTGGTAGCTTACTATGCAAGACATGGCCTGGCAATGTCGTATAAGTTGTAATTTTAAGAGGGAAACCATGATAAACTGCTGTGCCAGGTTATATTTTGCACTCCAAATTAAAAAAAAATACTGGGTACCTCAAGCTGCTTTTACACACAGGGAGTATCATTAGACGAAGTAGAAAGATTTAAAAGTTATTGCTGACTAGCTTGTATGGTTAGAATGATTGTTTATAGCTACTGTTGCGTAATTTTTAAATAGTTGTCTCAAAGACTTTTTTTTGGGGGGGGGGTTGTATACCCATATACACGATATACCATAATGCATCCATGTATACTTAATTATGGTGTTGACGTATATGCCAAGGAAATCAGATGAATACCGAATACGTTTATGAAGTAACAGTGAAGAACAGTTTCCACTAAAGCAATTCTGAGTGTAGTAGATTGTATTCCAACAGATTTCATCCGCCGTTTTGATTATTGAAGCAGAGTGTGCTCCTTTTGGTTAATTTAGTTCATACAAGTCTTTTTTAACGTGTAAGCCCAAAAGTTATACCAGAAACCTTCAATACTTCTACAGAAATTTATTTATTTGCAGTTAGTTCTTTGTTCATTATCAAACCTGCATCTAAGAATTATTAACAGTCCCGAATAGGCATGAAAATGAAATATTTGCCACTTGACATTAAGCAAAGACCAATCAATCAATTAAAACTTTAGAATTGTTTTCCTTATCAGACAAATAGCCAATTATTTCGTAGGCTTTTATTTGTTAACTGTTTTCGTGTAAGCTAAATGAAAAATCATTGATAAATATTGAGCCACCATCTTTGAAAAAATACATGTAACCATGAAGTATAAGTTAATTCCATAGCCCATGAAATCAACAATTGTAGACAAGACACCCATCTAAAGTTCAAATACAGATTTGCAATCTATATATTCATTACTGCATAGCTTTAAAGAGAGGGAAAAGACAGTGGCTCAATATGTGTAGGCATCAATTTACAGTAGAAAAACTCACCAAAGATAACAAGCTTATAAATTTGTAAACCAGACACGCTATTCTTCTACAAAAGGCTCATCAGTGACGCTTGAAGAAAAAGAGATAAAAAGGCAAAATAAAGTACGAAGTTGAAGAGAATTGGATGACACCAAGAAAAGGGACATATAAAAAGTCAGACAGTGAAAAGTAAAACAACAAAAATACCGAACTCCAAGGAAAATTTAAAATGGAAAGTCTTTTATTAAATGGCAAAAATAGCTCAAACACATCAAAAGAAATGGACAACAACTGTCAAATTCATGACTTGGTACAGATAACTTTCATTCATATGCAATAGCTTAATGTGATTTTCTATATATAGTTCCAAATATCAAATTTGGCAAAAAAAGTAGCAAGAAAATCGTCCCTTAACCAACCTCATGTAAAAATAAACTCATTAACGGCATCTTTTCGAAATATAAGATAATCAGATACCCGCGTCTAATCTGTAATTTTATCAAAAGTGTCCTTTTCCATATTAAGGGCATACGATACAGTTTCGATCCAACGATGAACTTTTTACGAAAATTTGCATATAAGCTATTTTTCATATAAGCAATTCAAATATGTAATAAAAAATGTACCTTTATGTGCTACTTCCAGAGATAAAAGGGGTCGAAATTTTAGACATTTACTCAAAATTTCGGTTTTTTTGACATTTCTATCCTTTGGATAGACACACCTAACATTTTTGTTTCAAAAGATAAACACAAGCGGATTTTTGTAAAACATTTGGAAAATCTTCTGTTCATAAGTATGCTTTAGATTTGTATAACAATTCTTTGGAAATAATTTTATTTTTTACAGTTTCAGGATTTTAGAAAAAAAACGGCATTTTTTGCTGTATATTTATCTAATTTAAAAAAAATTCATCGTTGACTTTTTCATGAAAATTGGTACAAATAATCTTGATACGTAATCAAACCAAGTGTCATTTTAAAAAAGAGGGGTCCATGAACTCGTTTTCAAGTTAAATCAGATTGAATGATAAAAATCAGTCGAAAAATGCATCTTTTCCCGATATGTCACAGTTTGACGTCGAGAAAAATAATATTTTACGTTAGCAACGTCATTACCTCCCCTGTAACTGTATCGTATGCCCTTAAGACATTTTGACTGCGTGTGGCGGATGATGCCATGATGGACAACACGAAACGCTTCCTGTTTGAGTTCATGCGATTCCCTTATCTTGATTTGTCTTAATCGATTCAATAAGATTTAAAACTACTGTTGCATACATTTAGCGAGAGTCTCTTTACCACACTTATATCTAAATGCTTCCGTCCTTCCGTATTTTTTCTTTCCAAACAACATGGAAGTTGTGGATTCTAGGAAAACAATAAAATAACACAAATTGTAAATATTCAATGACAATTGTTTACAATTGAAAGAAAAGGAATTCCGCTTGGGTAACGTAATCATTTTTGGGGTTATACTTCTCCCTGTTTATACGATATTCCAGAGCTTGCATTTCCTATCATGATTTCCTTGATAGAGGGTTGTTGCTAACAATGAAGCTATTAAACCAAGACTTCTAAGTGGTGAAGTAGAAATCATCCCGTCGAAAATTTTACGGACGGCATCTTGAGTTGGTTGACCGTTTTGGAATATCTGTTCCAATTGTTGTAAACAAAATCCCGTCCTCTCCCCGAATGTGAACTACCGAATAAGACTTATCATCGGGTTTGTTCTTACATGAGCAACACGACGGGTGTCACATGTGGAGCAGGGATCTGCTTATCCTTCCAGAGTACCTGAGCTAAATCCGGGTTTTTTGTACAGTTCGTGTTGCTCAGTCATAATCTTTTTTTTTTTTTTTTTCGTTTTTTTTGCCATGGTGTTAGTTTAAATCCGACTAAAGAGTTTGAATGTCCCAATGGATCTTTCGCCTTTCATTTGTGGAATTTAAAGTAAAAGGTTTTGGTTAAGGTTTAATCAGAATAAATAATGTTATGAGGATCATCCAATTTTAATCATGAACGATCAATGCGCAAATCTTCTTTTGTTATAATAGCAATGCAGAATCGTTTCACTCTTTATAGAAATGTATAGAAACGATAGAACCCTTTCAGAAATAAAATTTAAGTTATATAAGGGTTTCATAGCAAGTTACTTCACAACTAAAATGTCAGTTTTGATCTCCAGTGTTGTGTACAATACAACTGACGCTGAAATATAATTGCGATGTCAGGCACGTATCCCCATGTTGAGTTGGAAATTGAACATTACTTATATTACAAAATGAAAGAAAACCCATCATAATAAAATAGATAGTAATTGGATATGGCTAGACCTCGACGATTTCTGGTAAATATCTCTTTTGGTCAGCTAGGTGTTACTGAAATGCTGATCTCGGAGACTGTCAGTATAATTATTCAGTTTTCTCTATCTTTGCATCTTTGAATCAGCAAAAGGAAAAGGTATGATACAGATAGGTGCTACTGTTTTGCTTCCAGCATGTTAAAATCTTATTACATAAATACAAGTTTCCCTACAAAGTCTTCTGGAATTTCCTTCAACTCATTTCATTTGAGGCCCATAAGACATTAGTCTGTCAGGTATCAGTACAAAATAAGTATAATATATTCACATTGTAATTACATACTAAAACTAGGTGCTTTTAAAGACGATTGAAAATGAAAATAACACTTTGTAAATATTATGCATCCAAAATGGTGACAGACAGGAAATATAAACTTCCTGAACATTTTCTAATACTTGAATATGTTCGTCATATTTTTAAACAATGTTCAATTCTTCAAGAAGTATTTTCAAAAACGGTATTGTGATTGTTAAGGTTGTTAAGGTATTTAAAAAAAACATCCGTTTGCATAAAACACCCTTCTTGGTCAAATATATCAGTTATATCTGATATAATTACCTCCCCTGAATTGTAATGACAGCCTCCAGTGAGCGCCGGTAAATAATCTTAATTGCTTCGGAATTTGAAGATTGTTACCAAAGAAATATAGTTATTTAATGAAATGAAGTGGTAATAACACTAATTAACAATGGTTTTATGACCTATAATTGAATCTTGCAAGCATTATATATCTTACCTGAACGACACAGAAAGGAAAAAAAACATGACGGACATCGATGTTGACCATATGATCACAAACAATGATATAACCTTAAAGGGAAAATTCGCGATTTTTTACTTATCATCTTATTATGTTCATAATACCATTAAAAACATATTCACCAAGTTTTATCTGGATATGAAAACTAATAAAGAAGAAAATTGGGAATTATTAATTCTATTTATTCAAACTTCCTGACTTATGTGACGTAGTTTAAGTCTTTTTGCATGCCGGGAGTGGATTAATCTCATTTAAAGTCTTGTTCGTTAATCATCTAATAACGCGATTTAAAGCGCATCAACGACTTTTGGTGTAGCTATTAACCAACTAACAATTCAGAAAGAAAAGTGATCAGCCGTGCATTTTTTTAAATTAAAATTTACGATTTATACTTTAAGGATTTCTGATATGATTATAGTAATAAAAGCAAATCATACAATCGAATTTTTTTATGATTTTTTTTTCGACGGATATGTTGAACAACATATATAACTGATAGTATAATAGAAATTCACGTTTGTATTCTCCCCTATTACTTCAGTCGAGGATTTGTCTTACTATACAAATCCTTGCTTCAGTCTAGCACTGTGTAAATACAATGCATGTGTATTATGCTAACACCACCTGGTAAAGGCGTGGTTAAATTCACGGTAATTAAAAGATTAGCATTATGTAATTTTAATCATTTGATCTTCACTAGAGTGGTGTTTGTCCTCAAGGGTTCACCGTTGCAGGTATGAGACAGATTTTTTTTAATTATTAAGGGAGGAATATGGTGGCAAAATACCTTAATCGCCGTTATATATATATTTTTTTAACATCTTGCATTTGCTCAGTTTTTAAATAAATAGGTGAGTATTTTGTTGTAACATCGAAATTCTGAATCACTTTCAATAAAATAATTATATAAATATTATAAATGGCCCACGAAAACGAGCGTATAAATCAAAACAGTACTATTTTAAATTATCATCGGTAACCTTGAATATTTAAATGTGCAGAGAAAATTATCAGTTACGAAAATATAGTTTTGTCGTCCAAAGCGATCTTCATTTACCTAATCAGGAATGCCCTTATTAAAATATTATAAATCTCACAACGTATTTATATAATTCTTAAGCTATTTGACCAACGATGTTTAAAAAAATTAACAGAATCAATCTAACGTCAACTTTCCTTTTTTAAATGGAGACAGAACGGCGAAATCAATTTTCAATGTGCTTTTGTAAGACTTATCATTCATTCATAAACCCACTCTTAACCAGAGACATATATACGTCTGTTTAAACTGACAAGAAAACTCCTATAGCGGACAAGCAGTATATTCTGTAAATTTCTGAGATTTACTACAAAGAAATAAAAAAAATCCCGAAATTAATTTGATCCTGGAAAATATTCACATCCTCATTCGGTCTGAAAAAAAGATACGAATTTGGTAAACAGAACATGCAGAAGTGTGAATATTATAAAACCTAATTGTTATATCAGAAACCATTATAAATATGAACATACATACGTAAGACCTCATGGGACGTCACCTAACCACATTCAGGTAATATACAAGTAGCTCTGTTATACCCGGAAATGTCAAGGATAATCATAGATAGATAGACATGACCTCAGACCACCACCATCCCCCCCCCCCCTTCCCCCCAAATCGAGGAACAGTATATCTTACAATGTGTATATTCCTGCAAAAATAAAAAATAAATGAGAAAAAAGAAAGAGATGAACGGTAAGTCACATCAGATTCAGATATTTATATAGTTGCTTGTCGTTAAATAGAGATCTAGTGTATACATGTCTCTGCGTTAACTTATAAAAATAAAAGGAAATAATAAACTTGAAATAGATTTATGATGAATACTTTGCAACTGCGACACCCCTTTTTATCACAGCGTACATGCATGCATTTAAATGACTGTCCGTTATGCGATTAAGAATGACAATCGTACGTACAATCCTATAGTTCATGGTGAGTCCTTTTCTATCAGATATGCGACTTTTCGTATTTATATTTTCTCTTATATTACCGGTACTGTCATTTAATATCTAATGCATAAGTGCAATATTAAGAGTGGTTAAATCCCCTACAAGCTAACTAAATAAATTAATCAACCCTCTAGCTGACCAGACGTTAATACAACTACCATCAGTTTATCCGGAGTGAAGTTTCTTTATTTCTTCAAATAGGCTTTTGGGGATCATTAGTGCACGTCCAGTGGCATATATATATAACATGCGATGATGACGAATTTCTTAAACTGTTCGAAATAATCTTATTGAAATATAAATCTGTGATTTTACTATGTCTATAGCTTCGATTAACCAAAGTAAGTTAGATATCGACCTGTATTTAAATCAGATTGGTTCTGGGTGTTTCTCTCGTATATTCAATATACTTGTATGATATCAGTTCTATATTGCGACTGTCCATAGTTCCCTATAAACCTTCCATCTAGGCGTGTAAACCAATGATCGACAAGTGCCGCACATTTTGTTAAATCAATATTTGTATGTTTCAAAATGTCCATAATTATTGACAACGAGTATATACTTACATTTTCCCCAATTTACCCTTGGAAAATGTGTTAATAGATTTTTATTTCATCAAATCTTTTTTTTTTTTTAATTATTTAAATTTTCATAAATATCATTCTTTACACCAAAAATGTTATTTATAAACAAGCGTATGAGTTTAGCAATGACTAGTATATCACTATCGGATACGCTAGACAAAGTTGTATATTACACCTGATAGATTCAAAATGGAAGTTACATGTTATCGGCCGTGTACACTGATCAATACCCCCAGAAAAAAAGTGATGCACGAACTTGTTTTATGTAATTGTGTAATAACAGTTTTAAAGCCCGACAGGAAATCGCTTGAATACCTGTACGTTTCACCTCACAATACCTCTGGGAACAATTCCTTTAGCCATTCTGGTGATCAGATAAGGGAAGGTCCGAATTTATTTTAAAAAGTTTATTACATAAAACAATTATGAACAAAGTAGATTTTCAAAAACAATTTTACACGGAACACTTATTTATGACTTTGAACTTTGACTTTTTAACTAATTTCAATTTCTTGTTTTAAATACTTCGTAAACAAAACAGTTTCAAAACGACAGACCATACTATTAGTACTAGTTATTTAAAAAATAATATATATAAAATTACATTTTCCGTATCAAGTTAGTTAGGAAAGGTTGCACAACCATGTCTATCATAATCTTTTTTGTGACCCGGGAAACTGTTTATGCTTTCCTTGTCGGATAAAACAACTGTACGCTTGACAAGATATCGACACTCAATTACGGCTACGTTAGGTTACTGCTTGTTTTGGTCCTTTGTGGTTTATAGATATATCGTGGTCAATATTCGGGGAGGATGTCAAAATGGCCGCATGTGGAGAATTGATACTCTAAATTTAAAATCGATGGTGATCTCTTAACTTGCAGAATAAAACTTTAATATCTATGAATTTGTGCTTTTTTATACATAATGAACAGAATATGAATTTTTCATTTTTTTGCGAAGTTTCCCTTTAACTAGTTTTTACTGTGACTATCCTGTAACTTGTTTACCAACAAAATTTAATGTACCATCAGGACCCAAAGGCAAGCGTGCTCTTACTGAAGAAATTGTATGACGAAGCGGCCCACATGATAGCATTTCGTATTCCACACTCAAAGCCAGCACCTTGGATCAAAAGTCTATTGCTTTTGTATTATGAACACTATGGTATATCACCTGAGTATATAGTCAGTTGGTTCGATGACCCTGAAAACTGGTCTGCAAAGAATTCTGGAAATAAATACATCTGTGTAGAATTATCAACAAAAGCAGAAGTTCTCAATTCTTTACTGTACAAAATCGCCCTATTTATAAACACAGGTTTAGTGCAAGTACAGGGAGACCATAAAGATACTTTTTTAAATAAAGATTTCCAAGTCCTACTCAAGCTGGTTTACGAAATTTATATGGCAACTAATACAGACAAATCTGAGTTATGTAAGATAAACATAAGCCAGTGTGGAAGTGAAACCGACTTAAGTGATCAAACAAATATTAAACAAATATCAACATTGATTGAAACAAATAACAACAAAGATTTGGTATCTCATAACGACAGTATAGTTACAAAAGACAAATTAGGTGAGGTGCATGAAGCAAACGATATAAGTCAATCAAATATGAATGTTACACATTTTCAGCCAGACCAGATATGTAGTAGAATGGAGGCCAGTTTCACAATAGCGATTGACAAAATTTGTACGCAGCAATCCGATTTATTCAATTCGAAATTTCAATAGATGGAGCATTATTACAATCAATCTATAGAAACAAACAACAATAATTTCAAAATGTTGCAAGATACAATTACTACTATACTTAAACCTACAAGTGATAATGAAAAGCTTGCTGCTCGCATTGTCTCTCTCGAAAAAGAAAATATCACCCTAAAGTCATCTGTTAATGAATTTAAAAACACATCTGCCATTAATATTGAATGTTAGAAATCAAAAATTGAAACTCAAAAATCCCAAATGGAGCTACCAAAAAATCGCAGGACAAGAGAATTAAAGATTTACAAAGTGACATTTCTGATCTATAAACTAAATTAAACGATAAGATCAGTAAAATAGAAGAGATGGCATCAGCTTTTGAATCAGTGTCCGAAAATTTGAAACAAAAAGAAGACGAAGTACTTTGTCTAAATTTGCATTTAAGTCAAGACAATACAAACAATTTTCCGGAAGTGAATCCAAAATAACCTATATCAGGTCTATGACAATGACATCTCAAGATTGTACGTTTAATCGAAATATAACTTTATTTTTTTTGTATACATGGATGACATATCCTTTACATAATTGAATGGCTTGAATAAATTCTAATTGTTTCATTTTCTCAAATCAAAATAATATTTTAAGATATACATTTGTTTTACAGAAACAGAAGAATAAAAGATATTGTAGACTATATAAGAACGGTGAATCTGTGTTTCTAAACTGCTATGAAAGCAAAGGAAATACATTAAAGGTTAAAAATACATTCACGCTTTCTCGTGTCAAAGGTTTTGATAAAGTGGTAAAAGAATTTTCAAAAGAATTCTACATAGATGTTCATTTAAAGAAGGAGAAATTCTCTCTGATATTCTCCAACCAAACTGACACTGAGAGCTGGAACAATTGTTTACAGAACAATGCACACTTTGCTGTCGGAAGAGAAGAGTCGTCTTCTGTTGATGATGATGATTCAGATACAGGATTCAAAGATAATATTTTGTATGATTCTGGACCTGAGAAAAGTAAGTTGTTTGACATTTTTATCATTGATGCTTGTAGTATTTGGTTACTCTATACCTAAGAATAGATATAAGATGATGTAGTATGAGTGCCAAAGAGACAACTCTGCATCCAAGTCATAATTTGTAAAAGTAATTCATTATAGGTCAAAGTAAGGCCTATTTATTTTAAGAATTTTATATTAAGAAGCCTACATATTCATAATAATACCTGTTAAAAAAAACAAAAGGTTTTTTGGTCATCAGAGAGAAAAAATTTACGTAAAAGAGCAGTGAAATAAAAAACAATCAGAAAGGTAATGTATTTAATTTGTTTTCAGTGTTTTGATATTTCAGGCATAATGGGACCCCTTGCATTAATACAAGCCCCTCCTTAGAAAACTAAATTGGCCAATTAGTCTTATTAGTCCTATTTCTTCAAAATTCACAACAGTGATCTTTAGTCGATCCTCCATCCTTTCAAAAAAAAAATCTAGGGACAAATGACATGCAGGAAGGTTTTATTATGCTCTTTTTTTAGCATTTTAAACTTTACACCATTGATCAAATGAATATGAAGGATATTTGTAATGCCTGTCACTTGTTTGTGAATTGTACAACTAATAGCAGTATTTTTCATTCGTCCTATTGATAAAATTGACATTTATTTATTTCTGATAAAAACCTTAATGAAAATTCGAGGAAACTCTTAGAAAACGGAAAAGAATGTGAAAATCACTTATTTCAGGGACTTAATCGTATTTCTACTCTGAATAATTTGAAATTCGATAAAGATAAAAATCTGATTGCAATTATTCTATACACAACATTTTACGTGAAACAAATGATTTAGTTTAGTGATTCCTCTGACCATAAATAGGACAATGAAAACTGTTTCTATTTCGTAATTGCCTTGAATAGTGTAGTTAAAATATTTTTCATGTTACCTAAGTTATTTTGCTTTAGCAAAACACAAGATAACAGCTGGTCTACATTGGATACAGTGTTTTAAGTTTGGATGATTTTAATGTATCAACCTAGTTCATTTACATTTTTAGCTTACCTGGACTACGGGCATTGTGACCTATTGCCATGACTTAAAGTTCGTCGACTATCACCATCATAATCGTTGCCTGTTAAATTGTTCACAAATCTTTTTTTGATTTTGATAATTATCTTGAAAGCTATAATAGATAAAGAGAAACTGTCAAATGTAATCAGCAGGGCAAGATCTCATAAAGATCTAATGGAAGAAGTCTTCAGTCGACTTCGTATAGGAATTATTGTCCTTGAATACGATTTGTCAGTTTTTTATATTTTGCGTAAACTATAGTCGAAATGTAGAATGCTTGTACATTAAACTGATCAATAGGACAATGTTTACAAAAAAAGGTCAACACGACCGAAACGTGTCGAATCTTTACAAGAGTTATTGCCCATGAATGACGATTTTTACCAATATTTGGGTTTTGGTTAAAATTATTTGAATAAAGAGAAACTGTAAATAGCAAAAATTATCAGCAGGACAAAATTTACTTATAAGTCAACATGACCGATAACGTCATTCGATTCTGTATAGGATGTATTGTACTTAATTGATGATTAGTACCCATTTTATCAAACACTTGAACAGATAGAGAGAAACTGTAAATAACCCAATTGATCAACAAAATAAGATCTGGAAATAATTTAACATTATTGTAATCGTCAGTCGACTCTACAAAGGTGTGATATTTTTTTTTCCTTTTTTCGAAACACTATCAGAATGTTCTATTGCATTGAGACGTTACAATTTTATGCACATGTTCCGTGTGAACGATACATGTTCCTCGGATCCATTCGGGTTTTTTATTTTGACAACCTGAGTTATCTTACTGAAGAACACACATAGCTTGTAGTCCTTTTATTATTCATTTTAGCTGCTAGATTTGATGTGACGTTGAAACAAAATGAAGATACCAAAAGACTTGGCCTAACGAGTACATACCGCTTGTATGTATCGGAAGTGTGTCTTATGTTAGAGGACATGGTAAAAAAAGAAGCAAAGTACAGATGGTATTACGATGCATTGAGAAGATATGGTAAACAAGGCAACGATTTTGTGATACAAGCCGGACGTAGGAGTGAAACAGGTGCAGGAACATTCACATTCACGTATGAAGATTCCTCTGAAATCACTAAATCAATTGACAGACTTACCAAAAGGCGAGTAAGTGAACAGTTAACAAGTAAACTTGGTTTTTCGCAGTCTGAAACAAAAAGACCATTATCAAACAGAATGTCAGAACCCATACCGAGGGGAGAACAGTCACATCCTCCAACAAAGCACATATTATCATTGGAAGAAAATACTGATATGAAAGCATCGTTAACCAGATATCAGTATCCTCACATTTCTCCCGAAATGAAACGTGAATTAGAAGGTGTAATTAGCGGTAGAATTGAATTAGTCAGAAAAAAATCTAGCAAGAGTAAGATGGAAATACAAAAAAGCAAAAAAGAAAAGGATGAAGAAAAGGAGAAAGGATTAGGAGCAATTTCAAAATCTGAAGATAAAAAGCCAAATGATAAAACTGAACAGGAATTTATCAAAGAGGAAAATGACCAGGATTCGGAAAATCTGTATGATGAGCTCGAACTACCCCTAGACTTGAACAGAGTTACTAAGCCTCTTTTTGAGAAAGCAGACCAGGGAGATAACCCAACTCAAAAACGTGTTTCCTTAAGTGATAAAAAACCTGAGGAACCTGAGGAACATGAAGAACCTTCAGTTTATGCAGATGCACAACCTACTCGCCAAGAAGCTTGGAAAAATTATGGATCACAGGATGAAGAGCATGTGGAAAATTATGAATTAATAAAGGCTGGTGCAAGTCAAAACGTCCTAAGTAAACCATTTGACAAGATAACAAGTGATGAAGAGGAAATTGATGATACATATGATCATGCATTCCTGGCTGAAAAGAACTTAAAAAAAGAAAACATTGCAAAAGACTCTAAAAACGTTTACGGTACTTCAAGCGGGAAGGATATTTTAGAAATAGAAACAGAGGGTGAATTATGTGATCCTGTCTATGAATCTATTGAAAATTGTGATGGCCTTTATTCAAAACAGAAATGTATACCCCAGTCAGAGGCGTTGGAAAATGCTGATATCAGATTATAAAGCTAGAACTTTCTAAATCAGTCATACTTTGATAATCAATTAATAGTAAAATTACAATTATGACGATATCAACGCTAATTCATATAAATTATGACTATATCAATGATTATTCATGCCAACACCGAAGTGCTGACTACTAGGCCATCATTGATGTTTACTAATTGTATTATCCAATTGTTCTTCTACAGTCAAATTGTTAAGACTTTATAAATATTTTGATAAACATACAGGCAATGGTGTCATATATTTCTTTATATGTTATGTTGATGATATGTGTCAATTCAAAATTATTTAGTATGGCTGGTTATTCCCAAATGATTTACAGTTTTACATTATGTTCATGGTGCCAGTCGTTGGTATGAAGTACATATTTTTCAATTAAAGTATTATTTCAAGTGTGACAGTCTTAAGAAAATTGTCGTACACTGTCTTTGGTGAGACAGTTTCTTTAAAATGGCATGACATAAGATAAGAAAATACTTGAACACGTGACATTTCTATCGGTTCTTCTATACAGGGAACACAAAACTTTGTATTCAAAGACAATATATGTTTTCCCTATCTTTATACAGTCTATTTACACTGTTCTACAGGTTTACAACATAAAAGAAATGTGTCCACTCAGAAAGAGACACTCATTTTTATATTTATCTCACCTATCCCTAAGGGCAATGTGAGCTATTGTCATGACTTGGAATCTGTCGTCGTCGTTGCCCGTTATCGTTAACATTTTGTAAAATCTTCTCTTAAGCTTCTTGACTCATTTCAACCAAACTTGAACTGACTGATTTCAGTGTATCTTGTGTAAAATTTGTGGGTTTTGTTCCTGCCAATCATCTAGCATGGCATCTATGGCTAAAATATATCATAAGAGTAAAACACATTAGTTTTCTAATATCTTTAAAACCATAATAGATAGAAAAATCTGAAAAGGCAAAGTTGTTCAGAATGACAAGATCTACTTCTAAAGTCCACCCAAATTATTAGATGACTCTTTATATAAGAGCAAATGTCCTGAAATGGTGATTTTTTTTTACATTTTCTGCGTTCATGTCTAGAAGCTTTAATCTATTATATATAGGAAGAAACTCATAACATAAAAAAGGTATTTAAAAACTTAATTTTCAAAAATGTTGATATGACTGAACCTATTTGATAACTCTATATAAGAGTGAATGCCCTTTATTTGGAAACAAGTTTTGGAAATTTTTTCGAGTGTTTACCTAATATCTTCAACCCGATGATATATATGTAGAAACTTTGACAGCAACTTCGGCCAGAAATACAAGATATATATTGGAAAGGTATGAGATACGGTGACCTATAGTTGTTAATTTCTGTGTCATTTGGTCTCTTGTGAAGAATTGTCTCATTGATAATCATACCACACCTTCTTTTTTATAGATCGTATGGCCCTCATTTTCTTATTTTTGTTTCAATTAAATTATAGATTTTAGCCTGCTTATTCAAATAAAAATAATAGTAATTTGTTGGGTTTTTTTATAATTCATAACACGACTTGATTATCTAAAAAAAATTTCGAAACGTGATATACAGGGAGGATGGTTTTTAGTTTCTTTTGTAATCAATATAAAAGAAAGTGAAGAAAGTAAGTCTTCATATATGTCTCGGCTGTGACAAAAGTCATAGAATGCGAGGCATAGGGATTACTTTTTTGCGGCGACGGCGGCGTAAACTATGTGTATAAAGCTGTATATTTCAGAAAAGAAGCGATCGATACCAGAGGGACATTCAAACTCATAAGTCGAAAATAAACTGACAATGCCATGGATAAAAAAGAAAAAAAGACCAACAAACAAATAATTGTACACAAAACACAACATAGAAAACTAAAGACTGATCAACACGAACCCCACCAAAAACTGGGGGTGATTTCAGGTGCTCCGGAAGCAGATCCTGCTCCACATTTGGCACCCGTCGTGTTGAAGGAAGAAGACCTGGATCTTTCATACCTTGTATGCCTTATGTTATGAAGTCAATAGTCCTCGATCCCATTTTTCATTGTTCAGCGACTGCTTGAAAAAAATGTTTTTTGTCATGGGCATTACTCATTTATTATGAGTAATAGGATAATCATATTTGGTATAAGGGATCCTTGCAATGTATTTGTGTCCGTCAGATTGGGTACACCTGAATTCGACCTCATTTCGTGGATCATTAATCAAGGTTACGTCCGTATCACAGATACAAATTGTATAAGCAATAGGTAAACTATATTAGGTATGTGGAATGATTGAAATGGTTACATGCCAGACTGGCAGATTTCATTGGACCTTGACCTCATTTTCATGATAAGAAAGGTGAATAAACAGAAAAAGACTTGCATTTTAAAAAAAGTTTTATGGAATATCCTAAGGATACATTACAACACACATGGATACACAATGATCTCCAGCGTCATTCAGAATACAGCTGACATTTCAAATTTAATTGTGAAGTAACGAACATGAACCCAATGTTTTAGAACATTGCTGTGTCTTGGGCATCATATTAGAAATTAAAAAAAAGAATGAGATGATACTGATAATACTGATAAGAAATTAGATCTGCTACTTAATAGGTGTTAAATTAGGTAACCCCAAACTGTAATGGATATAAAAAAGTGTGTTTCCCCCAAGTATTGTTAAAATACCTTTGAAGTTTAATGTAGCTAGATATGTGAGTAATTTATACCTTTGCAGTTTTCTTTATATTTGAAATTGTTGTCGAATTTGCCAGGTTAATTTTACTTCAGAATAAATAACAATATAAACTATATTTTTTGTTGTATGTTGATTTGTCAAATTCACATAAGAAAGGTAGACTTTTCACAATTAAAATAGTTATGAATATATGAAATTAACAAGCCAAACTTTTGATGAATATCATGTGCAATTTCTGTTAGATTTATATGAAATCCATGTGCATATTAATATCAATAAATTTCAAATGATGCTCACATGAGTAACTCTGTCTGAACATTGAGAACGTTTTATTTAGTTTACTTTTTATAAACAAAATGGATGTTATAAATATTTGTATATACATTCATTTGTATTATATTATACATTTTATAAGAGAGCTGAAAGATACCTTAGGGAAATTCAAACTCATAAGTCCAAAACAAACTGACAATGCCATCTAAAAAACGAAAGTGTCGAAAAGATAAACAACAGTACTCAAAACACAACATAGAAACCAAAAACCGGAGGTGGTCTCAGGTGCTACGGAAGGGAAAGCAGGTCCTGCTCACAGTGTTGAAACGGTTAACTTTAAACAAAGTGTTGTATATAATCTGTAGGAAAACGGGAAGGGAATTTTGTTAACGAACACCGATTCCCAAATCTTTTGTTTTACTGCCATATTTGAAAACACAAGCACAATATTTTATCTACGAAATTCAAACCGCTCGAAACCGTCAAGAAGCAGTTAGGACAATCCAATAAACAATTCGAGGATTCCTATAAATTTCATAACTGTCTTAGATTAAACGATTATAGACTTCATATATCCTTGGTTTTAATGGAAAAAAATCATGGGACAAGGGAACATATCTAAAATTTCCTCTATTGATATATTATGAATATTGTTAATAAAAGACAACATCATGATAGGTCACCTTGAAAATTTATCAACAAAAATTTAATGAACAGTTATGACTTTTCAACTTTCCATAATAAATTCCACACACTATTATCAAGCACGTTTTCTTTTCATTTTGATAGAATGGTCCTTTGAAAAATCTGATTGCAGATTCATTGACAGCTACTCATATAAAGACTTCACCTGAAATGAAAAATGAAAATATGCTATATATACTTAGTTGAGGTGTGATGAGATCATTAAAGCTGTACATTTTTCTCCTTTACAACATATATATAAAAACAGAAGATGTGATGTGATTGCCAATGAGACAACTCTTCACAAGATACCAAATGACACAGAAATTAACAACTATAGGTCACCGTATAGATCTCAAGTAACATCGTGGACTTGGAGGGGCGGGTCATTTACATTTACTAAAGGCAGGTCAATCAGACCTCACCTTTGATTGCTGTATTAGTAAGACATTATCTGATTTGTGTCATTGTACCGTAGAACTTAAATTGAACAAACTCAGTGTTCTCCACAGGGAAGCAAGTCAACTCACACTATTGCAAAGTCGTACCACGCCAACCAACTGATGCCACTAAAAGTCAACTCAAATCAACATTAACTACTAAATATTGGTATTCACAATATAATTTATGTCTGATAGACGTATCAGAGACCATGTGTCAACTTACAACAGAGGGAGACTAGAGCATTATATTAAATGACATGTACATTGTATGTATAAAATTGTATGTAAGAAATAAAATTTAACATAATTTTATCTCTCTGACTCTCAAACTGCTCATCTTTTTAATTTGTCGAAAATCAAACTTTGATCTGACCCTAAAAAAAAATATCCCATGATCCCATAATCATGATAATGATTTCTTTTCAATTTCATGGACAAAACTTGTGTAAATATATTTTATCATGATTGTATGTCTAAATAAACAATATAAATATTTGTATTTGTTTTTATTTCAGCTAGATTCCAATTCTTGGCTTTAATATCCTAGAAATGACAAGACATACATGTTGAATACATGATACTATCTAGTAGCTGCATTGACTAGTCATCATAATATTTCCATGACAGCTATGAAAGTTTAGACCTTTTTGATGTTTTGAATATAGTTATACATGTATATCTACAGATATGATCAAAGTACATGTACTATGAACATTTTTACCAGGTCTTATCATATGACGACTAGTCAGACAAATTTTGGTTCAGAATTCTGACAGGAATTTTTACAAAATTGCCAGGGGTTACAACACATGAATATAATTTGTCATGGAGTTTACTGTAACGGTCCAGCTATTTTTAGAGGCTGTCTAATGATAATATCAGAACTATGATATGTCTGTGCAACTGTTACTATAAAATGTGGGAGATACATGTACATCGTATTATTGCACACTATCAATATATATACAAGTAGTAACCCAGGTATCAGTTATATAAAGATAGTTTGAATACATCATGATGATACACTGTGCAGATACATGAAATATGTTTATAAAGTATGTAAGAAATGAAGAATATAAACATATTAAAAATAAACAGACAAAATATTTGTATGAAATTTGATGTAATGTAATCGGTTGGACACGTAGAAGTACAATAATGTAAAATAAAATTAAAAGCATTTCTAGCCCAACAACATAATCTCTTTGTGTAATATAATCCATGCATGATAAACAATAAAATTACCACACCTCAGATTGTTCCCAGTATTATTAAATCAGTTTTTGTACGGAGTGACACCTGCTGATCTAACTAAAAATGCTAATGTGGCATATGAAAACTCTTAGAACATAGTGGAATTAAACTATACACCACTGTGGAAAACATTAATTCTGATGATATTATTCCTGCATAAGAAAAATTCATTCATCAGTGTATTGAGAAGTTGATAGAAGTAAGCATCTGTATGTCACATACGGCCTGTAACAATGTGCAAAACCCATACTGCATAGTATAAAGCTGTAAATGGCCTTGAAATGACAAATGTAAAACAATTCCAACAAGAAAACCAGCGTCCTGATTTATGTACAAATCAATAATGAAAAATAAATATGATATACAGCAACAAATGACAACCACTGAATGACTTTGGACATACACACACGTAATCTGGCAGGGTTACACATGTTTACTGGCGCCAAACCTTCCCCTTACCTGGGACAGTGTACATACATCTTCTCAGATATTCAATCATCGAAAGGATACATATTTTAAAGTAATTTAAAAATGAATAATAAACGTTTGAAAAAATTGGTATATTGTTAGAGAAAAGTGTGTAGGATAGTGGAAATCAGTACAGCACATGACAAAAAAAAAAAATCAGAAACATGAGATATAACAAGCTGTGATAAACAATTTAAGCAACACTGCCACAGTTTTCATCATGTTTTTGATTAACTGCCTATAGCGCTTACAGTGCTTTGATTATATGTTGTATTTGTCACTGGACATCAAACAGACATCTGTTAGTGCTTTGTACTTATCTATCAATGGCAATCTAATTAAAATACAGAACTCGGATTTCGTTATACTACATACGAGATCTAACAACTACCCGTATAAGGTATCACTTCTGAAGGATTTCATTTGCATGTGACTTTTTCAACCAATCAGAATTCTAGTTATCGAATCTGAACAGCGCACGCGGAACATATACTTAAATGAGGTTCATTGAAAGGTCCCGAGGGTATCCAAAAATAAAAACAATGGGACCTAAAATTTATCGCTTCGATTGTAAATAGTTTTTAAATCTCTTTCGTCGTCATATTGTAACTATAGCCATGAATATTTGAAATATGTGACGTTTGCCATAGTTTTCAGATGTGCCTCATATGCTTTATGACTTGAGGTCGGATCGTTATGGAGCTAACATTTGATTTTTATTGGGGGGGGGGGGGGGGAGGGGGGTAGGATGAAATTTGAAAAAAAATAGGCAGGACAGGAGTTTATAGTAAAAAAAAAAGGCAGGGTGAGACACTTTGCAAAAAAAAAGGCAGGATGACAATTTATGTAAACAAGTCAGGATAAACTAAAAAAAAAAAGGCAGGACCGAATAGAGTGAAAAATAAAAAGGCAGGACAGAGATTACAACTAAAAAAAAGGCAGGACAAAATTTTTCATCCTAGCCCCCCCCCCCCCCCCCTTAAAAATCAAATGGCAGCTCCCTAATCGTGAAAATTACAGAGTACAGTTAACACTTTTAAACTGTACACTATAGCGGTTCAATGCTCTTCAACTTAGTACTTTATTTGGCCTTTTTAACTTTTTTTGATTCGAGCGTCACTGATGAGTCTTTTGTAGACGAAACGCGCGTCTGGCGCAAATACAAAATTTCAATCCTGGTATATATGTTGAGTTTATTTGGATAGTGCCTTAATCAAATTCAACACACATTCATTTTTCTTCAAAACATACCTTAACTAAGTCAGGAATATAACAGTAGTTTTCTATTCGTTCCGATGGTTGATATAGCCGAGTGTTTGATTTGTCAGAGTTTATGGACTTTCCCCTTTTCCAATTTACTTGCAGTTCGGTATTTTTGCTAATGCGTTTCTATATTATATAAAAAGTGTAAACCATGACCAACAGGATTTTTCTTGATTTTGATTGGTCAGTTTTCCCAACATTACACAGAAGTTCATAGATAATGGTAAATCTTTCATACATTAATTTTAATATCCTGTTACGGTAACTGGGTGTCTAAATGTTCGACGATATATTTTTCTTAATCTTCTGTAAAGACTTCTTGGTCAATCTACTGTCAAATTTCAATATAAAAACTGGGGGTCACGAACCTGGTTTTTTTTTGTTAATATACAAGAAATTTATGAAATTACAGTTATTTTATATGGGTTATGTAGCAGAAACTTAATTTTTCCTTATTGAGAAAACATTAAACAACAGAATTGGTTCAAAATTCAATGAGATGATTGCTTTTCATAAATACGTCTAAATATGAAAAAATAGGAGGTCACGGGCCGTATTTTCTTGAAAAATAGAAAATACTCACACCAATTGTTCTATCAAATGCAATATAATTATCTGCCCTCGATTTTAAATAGTTTTATTTTTACTGAAAATTTTAAATACACTCAATGACACTTATTTTTTTGATAGTTTAATCTTTAAATTTCATTTTTCTGTTGTATATTGGACGATACTTGGTAAA